CCATGTCAAGCTATTACTAACTTCGTACTTATACGTTGACTGCAATAGCCAACAAACCATTTTTCTCAGGGGTTGGGGGAGGGGGGGGGGGGCACTTCCTTCACCCTCACTGGCTTACCTTCAATAGGGAGCCTCGGTGGCTCAGTGAGCTTACCTGAAGGTCCAGGGTTAAATCCTGGCATAGGTTGAGATAATACCTTCAGATTTTTCAACCTGGTTTCCCCCTGTCAGTGAGTTAGACGCTTGCTCGCTTACTTGAAGGTCCAGGGTTCAACCTTGGCTTAGGTCGAGATAATACCTTCAGATTTTTCAACCCAGTTTCCCCCTGTCAGTGATGTAAGTAAGAGGTGCTGACATGGAAAAGGTGTATAGTTGTTCAGATGGGACAATAAACCGAGGCCCCGTGTGCTACAGGCTATGCACATTAAAGACCCCTCGACAGTTGGAAATCGAAAAAGAGCAGGCTAATGCCGGTATCCTAGTAAAATTTCCCTCATTGCACACTGCATGGCGTAGCCCGTCTTCATTGTACCACAAGGTGTAGAAAAGTAGGACGTAAAACTCCATTCGTTTCATTCCATTTGTTCATTTTACGTCAAAAAATGTTGCAGTTCATTTACGTTCTATAAACAAGTTTAATATTTCAAATAATTTGTACAAATAAAAATTAGCCCGTAGGCGTCTTCATGTCTTCCATCTTAAATTTCGTCTTTTCTTAAGAAGTCGTACTTGCAATTATTAAATTCTTAAATTTTTCTGTTTTCATTTTGAAAATTTTAAATTTTTTTCAGCGCAATATTAGCCCGAAAAATCTTCTTCTAACAAAGTTTTTTGGATAAAGTTATCCTAAGTCCCATCTATCTATTGATAAGGGTTTATGGTTGAAACGGCACTGATTCGAGTATCCCTTGGATACCAAGAGGTTTGACCAAGGACCTGCTGGTAGAAAGGATCCTTGTGAACCTAAGTTGTTATTCTTGTAAAATCATTACCAAGAGGTTTGACCAAGAATCAGCTCGTAGAAAGGATCCTTGTGAACCTAAGTTGTTATCCTTGTAATATCATTACCAAGAGGTTTGACCAAGGACCTGCTGGTAGAAAGAATCCTTGTGAACCTAAGTTGTTATTCTTGTAAAATCATTACCAAGAGGTTTGACCAAGAATCAGCTCGTAGAAAGGATCCTTGTGAACCTAAGTTGTTATCCTTGTAAAATCATTACCAAGAGGTTTGACCAAGGACCTGCTGGTAGAAAGGATCCTTAATTGTGAATCTAAGTTGTTATCCTTGTAAAATCTAGATGGTTCGAAATATATTTTGGGATTTTTTCACTTTTTCTTGGTTACTGCAAAGTATATTATGGTTGAATAAATAGTTTGTTGAAATCAAATTTGAGATTTTTCCACAAATATTTATTCATGCATATCTGAAATGACAAAGGTAAGAAAGGTGTGTTAATGCAAAGGCATAATTACAAGATTATGCAAATATGTTTTTTATTACATCAAATACGAAATGAATGGAGTCTTACGTCCTACTTTCTGCACCATGTGGGCTAATGAAGACGGGTAATGCCATGCAGTGCGCAATGAGGGAAATTTTGCCATACATGAGATGTCCATGCTGCATTTACAAATTTTTGTGATGCAATAAAAGTGTCTAATGATGTCAAGGCATTAGACAGAGTTGTAACAGAAAAGTACCAAATTATGTCAAGGTATAAGACGATGTTTGTAATAGCTTGACATTGTGAAGATGAAGTAAGTTAGTAAAAGCTTGACATTGTGAAGATGAGGTTTGTAATAGCTTGACATTGTGAAGATGAAGTTCGTAATAGTTTGACATTGTGAAGATGAAGTTTGTAATAGCTTGACATTGTGAAGATGAAGTTAGTAATAGCTTGACATTGTGAAGATGAAGTTAGTAATAGCTTGACATTGTGAAGATGAAGTTAGTAATAGCTTGACATTGTGAAGATGAAGTTTGTAATAGCTTGACATTGTGAAGATGAAGTTTGTAATAGCTTGACATTGTGAAGATGAAGTTAGTAATAGCTTGACATTGTGAAGATGAAGTTTGTAATAGCTTGACATTGTGAAGATGAAGTTTGTAATAGCTTGACATTGTGAAGATGAAGTTAGTAATAGCTTGACATTGTAAAGATGAAGTTAGTAATAGCTTGACATTGTGAAGATGAAGTTTGTAATAGCTTGACATTGTGAAGATGAAGTTAGTAATAGCTTGACATTGTGAAGATGAAGTTTGTAATAGCTTGACATTGTGAAGATGAAATTTGTAATAGCTTGACATTGTGAAGATGTAATTTGTAACAGCTTGACATTGTAAAGATGAAGTTCGTAATATCTAGATATTGTGAATATGAAAAGTGGCTAATAATGTCAAGGTATAAGACGATGTTTGTAATAGCTTGACCTACCTGCGGCAGATTGGCTTTAACCGATTCCGGTTTGGTACACATATTACGAAG